AAAATTTTACGGACGAGAAGCTTGCACATTTGACTCCCAAGCAAGCGCTTAGTGACTCACCGTGTTCCTCCCAAGTCCGGAAAAAGGAAGTTGCTGGAAGTATTGAGCAGAGCTGATACGAGGTACAAGCAGCTTCGAAAATCTAAATTTATAGTTGAATATCTAGGCAAACTCCAACATACAGAAAAGTACCCACATTTCCTTGATTGCGATGAGTAGGCACTTCTCAATCTACAGTATAGTGGGCGTGATCAGCGAGATCTTTCGCCATATATCATTATTCCTAGAACAATTACAGAATTACAGAAGGCAGCTGTGAATATTCGATATCAATGCTGTCAGACTGTTGCAGAGTGCTCAAGAAAACCGAGAAACAGAAGTGCAAGATTTTGGGAGCAATGTTCTGCGGCAGGCGTTGAGAGCATCGATTTGGCTGCAGAATGAGCGCAGAAAATTTTTTCGGACTGCGGCGATGAATCAGACTTCATAGATAATCAACATATTAACGGCAATGGCAATGCATTTTCTCATTGTACTTAGGCAGATGGAATATATCACGTAACATTGACGATGATTATGCTTGATTTACACACGGTACCCAAGATCAGAAAAGTAAACATTAGCCAAAGTAGTCAATTTTACATTCTATAATTCCGACGTCATGTCATATTGGTGTGGTAGTGTCAGACTAACTTTCAAAACTGAGTGCGGGTGTTATCTGAGAACATATTTTGTTTTTTCAATAATAATGATTTTCAGGTTTCTGTCTTGTGTTCATTCTTTTTTGCTTTTTAAATGAGTATTAATTGTGTTCTATGATTTGTAAAGGCGCACTTCCTATGAAATAAATATGACATAATATAAAATATAATATAACAGTGATGCAGCCAGAAGCCTTAAGATTTCGGGAGATTTGCTTGATTCAAATCTATACCCACACAATAATATAAGATTGAATAATTAACTTCTAAATCATTTTGCTTTTGTAATTTTGCTAGTTCACAATGATACTAGTAAGGGCTTCTCCCATACGGGCCTAAAAGCTGAATTGAAAAAATTGCTTGGTTCTTTTGATAGTTTCCTTGAATTACCTTATGACTGCCAAAAATTTGCATTGAGCCCTGAAAGGAGATAATATAAAGCTTGTTCTAAAAAATGCTCAATTGATGATAACTCTCTTGTTTCGATGTCTTTCGGCAAACTTTAGGGACCATTCTGTAAAGCTGGCTTCAACTTAGATTCACATTTTGAAACAATCACCGATTTTTCTTTGTTACTGTTGAAATGCGGTACAAACTTCAAAGAATTTTAGGTCATTGAAAGTCATATCTTGCCTAAGAAACGGAACCAGAAAAGCCAAAAACTGACAGGGTAGTCGGAGTTCCTGAATTCATATATGAAGTTCGCACATTACTTGAAGTTCATGAGTTTTTCCAGATACACCGTAAGTACCGTCTTCCAAATATTCTTCAGAACTGCGAGCCACTAAAAAGCTCAGAAAGTTCTTAGAAAGTGGTGTGTGGGTCAGCATAAATTAACTCTGCTACACAATTTCTTGGAATTTTTGAAATAAAATCTTGTGAGACGGCTTATCAAACGATTGTTTTGTATGCTAAAAGTTTAGTTCCGTAATTCTACATTAACAAAAAGGCACCGATGATTTGCTATATACATTACTATTGCTATATACTACAAATCTAAGTTGAAGCCAGCTCTGTAAAATGGTACCTTAAGTTCGGCGAAAGTCCTCAAAGCAAGAAAGATATTAACGATCAAACAGTGTGCACATTTTCTGGAGCATCCCATATGTGTACCTCCTCTGCACTGTAAAGAGAAAAAGTCAAAAGGTTTGTGAACTATAACTACAGCTTTCAAATGCAAATGGAGACAATTTCTATCTATAGTGTCAAAGGCTGTTGCTATCAGACTTGGCAAATTGTAGCAAAACTGCGAAGTGACAATGTAGTCGATCTTTAGCAACAGCAAAGACAGAGATCGAAACGAGCCTTTCATTCAGAAGCCAAACTAATCGAAACATATGCATCAACGCGGTGATTCATCGCAATGACGGCCACCCGCGCACTTGTGACGATTTTTCAACAACTTTTCTCGGCCGTGAAATTGCGATAAATCATGTGACAAATTTATTCCCTTGAAAAGATAGATTTGAATATACAGGATAAAACTTGTGCACACTATGTGAGCTGCTCGATTACTATGATTGTTAACTCACTTGTCTTAAGTCTCAAACCATTGGATCTACCATATTATGGAGCTGGTTTCCTTTGATTATAGATATTCTACATATGAATAAAGCTGAGTGTCTTGTTTGTAGTGCGCCTGTGTGCATGCCATTGTGTATTTACGTATGTACAGACAATTTCATTTCTGAATAGATCCTGACCAAACTTTGCACACATGCTTTGAAGTGTGACAACGTTGTTATGTGCCTGTAATGTGCCTTTGCTGTCGATCAGTATTGAATTTATCGATATTGCGCGAACTTTGAGCATCGGTGCTAAGAGCATGCACGGTAACTGGTAAGCTGTGAGAATGTAATAAACACTTTAGATATATCCATTACTTTTATCGATTTTTTGGTGCCATGGTTTGGAAGGTGAGACATGGGGGCAAGTTAGCACGCTGATCTGTATGTTATAAACGCTCTGAAAATATCTTTCACCCCTATCGGTTTTATAGATTTTTTGCAAAGTTTGAGGTAAGGGGCTGGGAGATGGTAGAGAGGGTGAGCATGCTAAAATACGAAAACAATGTTAGATAGAGTTGTCGATTTCTTTTATCGATTCTGTCAATCTCGGGGGGGGGGGGGGAGTGAGCTGCCATGGGGTGGGACACGGACAAGCATATGTTTGTAGAAAAGAGAAAGAAAGTGAATTTTTCACATTATGTTGATCGAGACCGAGCAAAACCGGGTGTTTCTGCTAGTGATAGACTGGATTACTGACTACTGTAGCGCTACTGTAGCGCTACAGTGTCGTTATCATGGAAACTATGAAGAAGCTTGTGCCAAAGATAGGCAGATTTACTTCATAAAAAACCTGAAAAAGCTGTTAAACTTCTTGGCCTGTAGTAATCCCCCCTACGTCGTAACGTACGAGGTCGCGAGATAAGCTCGAGCTTAGTTTCATTCCTCAATGCATTGATCAGTTCATCGGCTATCCTTCAACACACTCGTCGAATCACGTCAAGAACAGTTCGCGAACTAAGATCGAGGTAAAGCTCGTGATCTTAGACACGACATATCTCACGAGCTCGAGTTTCCTCCTCAGATAGTGGGCAATGGTGAGAGACGCAGAAAAATGGCACGAGACTAGAGCTCGAGTACGCCAAGTTCACGACCTGATAATCGTGCTGGGACTTGCCTACAGTACACCAAACAACGCTTCGAAACGTTGAAACGCCTGCGCTTTCTCTTTCTTTTTCTTTCTCTCTCTTTCTTTCTTCTTTCTCTTTCTTTTTTGTCTTTCAGCCGAATTTGGAACTCCAGTGTTTATTTGAATAACCTATTTTGCCCGCGATTGTGGGTAGCGATCATTTTTAGGCTGTGAGTTGTTGCAGATGAAAATAAGACAAATTCTGCTCCCAGAAAATGGCAATCGATCGCAGAATCGGTGACAGTTTTTATGAGGTTTCATAATCAGACTAAGATGACTGATCGTTTAGTCCCGGCATTTGTGCGTGCGTCAACGAAATTTTAGGCCCCTGCTAAAGACGCCCCGAAAGCCGCTGAAGAACCTAAATAAGCAGCGAAACCACCTCCACGAAAGAAGAGATTAAGCCAGCTGCTGCACCACCTCCATCGCAGGCGCTCGACCACCACCACCCCGACCTGCGCCATGCGTTTCAGGTAATGTTGAGTTGGGTAAAACAATTAATTTCACGAAAAATAGGTGTGTTGTTCTTTACCCATAATTTTTGCGCTGAAGTAGTTCGAAGCTTCTATTATTACATGTCAACTACTTGGAATTTTTCATCACCGGTAAAGGGCGGTTATGCCCTAACATGGCTAAATTACCCAGATCTTTGACTTTCTCTTCGCTTTCATGCTGTGATGAATATAGAGAGGATTTGGTATTTGGATAAACCCAAGTCTTCTTTATCTCGCGAATTACGACAAAACCTGCCCTCATAAAATTTTGTTAGGCAAAAAAACCATTTTTTCACATTTGCGCATAATGAAAGTTGAATGTCAGTTCTTTGAGTTTCTCTCACTAGGAAATAAATTCTAATCAGATTTTACATTTTATCTATGAAGCAGAGTGCTCCTTAATACCAAATAACGATAATAATAATGATAATAATAATAATAATAAAAATTTCTCCGCGAAATCTAGCAGCGATTGAAGTTATGTATCAGTCAACCACCTTAGGAACTCCCTTTATCTAAGACTGTGATTGTGACTCTTTGAAGTGACACTGCCACTCTACTTTTTTACAGGGAGGTAAAGGGGGAAAGTTATGCAAATATTATCGGTTTACTTTTACATCATCAAGTGAACCTTTTTTTGCCACACGTGCGACTTCTGTTGACTTTGCTACTATCATGAACGCGCAAAGAGTAAGGGATTCGAGTTGAGGGGAGCAGAAATTCGCATGAATAGTTGCAACCCAAGGATCTATTCTTATAGCGAATTATGTGGCAGTTAAACTAAGTTAACGTCATTACCTATTCTTGAAAAGAAAAGAAAATTTTTGAGGATAGAATTTTAGTAGGAGTAAGGTAATACTCCCATTTTCCCTTCTTTCCAGGAGACATCCCAAAACGTCTGCCACCGGTTTCTCGCCCTCCACCTGCACCAATGAGCTCTACGCCTGTGAGCAATATCCCAGTTCAGCGTATAAATCTCCCGACAGGTGCATCACCCGAGTTGCCATCACTGGAGCAAGGGAAGAAGTGAGATTCTCAATGACATTTGAGCATGAAGATTGAGATGTTTGAAGATTGTTTTTGAAATGGTGTATTGTAGATCCGCGTGAAAATGAATCGAATGCGATTGCGTATTGCTGCCCGATTGAAGGATGCACAGAACACTTCTGCTATGCTTACCACTTTCAATGAGGTTGACAGGAGGTATCGATGTCCTTTAGATTCTCTTTTTTTTCTTTTTAACTCCCCTTTTTTGTCATTTTGTATGTCGCTTAACCAAGGATGACCATTTTACAGTTGTTATTTTTTTCGTTTTTGATTCTGCAGCTATAAGTGTGTTCGAGCTTGAAGAGTGAGGAATGGAATTCTCGAAAGTATAAGTGCACATTTATGTTAATCTCAACTATTCTCTTTCAGCAACATTATTGAGCTGCGAATGAGGTACCAGAAAGACTTCATGAAGAAACATGGAACCAAACTGGGTCTAATGTCTCCTTTTGTGCGAGCAGCTGCCTATGCCCTCCAAGAAACTCCAGTGGTTAATGCAGGTAAGCTCGTAACATGGCTTAGCATTTACGGTGTTGAAATTAATATCTGATTTATAGTCATCGATGAGAATGAGATTATCTACCGCCATTTCGTTGACATGTCCATTGCTGTAGCTACACCCAAAGGATTAGTAGTACCAGTATTGCGTAATGTAGAGCCAATGAACTATGCCCAGATTGAAAAGGATTTAGCAGCACTCGGAGAAAAGGTAAGGCCCCACAAAAACAAGCAAATACGTTAAATAGCAAATGAATGAGTTTAGGCCAGGGATAACAAACTAGCTGAGGATATGGAAGGAGGCACATTTACTATTCCGAATGGTGGAGTTTTCGGATCGGTATTCGGCACGCCAATCACCCACCCCAGAGCGCTATCCTAGAAATGCATGGAATTTTCGATAGACCTGTCGCCATAAATGGAAAGGTGAGTATATAGTTTGCTGTTTTCTGATCTCTCAGTTAGTTGGCAAGTGTCTAAAATGGCTAATCATGTGGACAGTTCATTTTGAATCACTAGATGGCACTATGAGCTTTTGAAGTGAGAATCAAAATCACTGATCTTGTGTCCTTTGCGGTCATTCATAGACTGTTGTCTGTAGCAAATCAAGCGTGATTTTCTGAATCATTCTTTTCAAGTCCCTAACAATGATTCGAAAATCACGAGATTTCAAGTGGCAAATTCATTGAGCTTATTTTCAAGAAAACCGGGAACTTTGGAAACTGTTCAGAATACATTTGGAAAGCCCACAGAGCCGGTAAATGATTTTCTTGTAATGATTTAACATTATCTATCATTTTCTTGCAAGCTTTTTAACTAAACAACCTCGTTCTCGATTTTTGATGGGTTTGGTTTAGCTGGACTCGGGCAAATTTTGAAAGAAGTCATGCGGCTTGTGTTGTCTCTCACGTAGCTATTCTTTCGGCAGGACTTATCTCTGTCAAACTTCGAACATTACGTGTGCATGAACTCTTGAATATCGTCAGTACCATTGGACTCGCGCTAGAACACTGAAATTGCAGAATTCATTTAGTAGTTCAAGATTTCATTTGGTAGTTCTGCTGCTTTTTTGACAGGGCTAACCAGCTTTTTCTGAGAATTTGGTATCACTTTACGGCTTTGTTGCTATGGTTCTAATGCCAGCTAATTACAGATTGTGCACATCTACTCAGAGACAGATGCCAGTACAGACTCTCATACAAAAGCGAATTCGAATTTCTCAGAGCAGCTCTGGTCGAATTTTATCTGTTCTTTTGTATTTTGTTTATCGGGTATGAACCTGATGCCTTTAGGTGAAAGATCTCGTCCTCAATATCCACCCACATGATACAGTCAAATACGGTGAAGCTCAAGGAGTTTGGGAACGACTTCGAAACGATTGTAGGCTTGATGTATCGTGTTGCCAAGGGTTATCAGACAATTCCTGATTTGCGGTAACTTTTGCACCAATTATAAGCAGCTAGAAGTGCGTTTAGTCGCTCCGAATAACTATCACCATCGAATTGCAAAACGATCAGTTTACAATGATCGTAGCAGTTGTCTCGTTGTAAGAATTGCGCGACGATGAAATCGCGTGATGTATGCCTGACCCTTGAAGGGACGACCAAAAAGACGTGATTTCTCGCTTTGCGATTTTCCCAACACGACAGCTGTTACGAATCCATTGCATGCCGATATTTCTGCAAGTTGGTTGTGATAGTTTTCCGACGTGACTAATCGCTACTAAACATCACAACTGTAATGCAAGGCAATCGACATGCAATGAACTCGTACCAGTTGTGTTGTGCGGAGAATCGCAGAGCGACGAAATCGCGTGAACTATTCCGATTTTTAGGCGAAAAACTCCTTTTTTGACGCTGTTCCAGATTACACAGCCCAAAAACGAAAAACTTCAGATTTCGCTGAAACTTTGTAAATAGGATATATTCGAGGGGCTGATCACGAAAATGATATTCATTTCGCATAGTGGGGCCTTTTTGTGGGATTACGTTAGGCGTACAGCATGGGGTCAAAATTTCAGATCTTGCTGAAACTATGCACGGAGGGATTATTCGACATGCTGATTACGAATATCGCACTTTCTGCACGAAAAGGTCTCCCTGTATGGTAGGTGGTAGGTGTACAGTAGGGGTCAGAATCGTAAACTTGGTTGGAATGTGGGCTAGAGAGGTTATTCTGCACGCTGAACATGTATATCATATCAAATTTGCAAGGTAGCGACATTTTCTTGGGCTACGACTGGATAAGTTGGTTGGGTCGAAGTCCCAGATTTGCTCAAAACTTGCCCTAGTGGGTTTTTCAACTATGCAGATATGAATATCATACTTGCTCACTGCAGCAATGTCTATTGTGGAGTTACAGGTTACGGTAATCGTCTAAAAATGAGCACCATTTCTCCTTTCACCTCTAATGTTCCCTATGTAAAAATTTTAGCGGAGGTTTTTATTTTTGGGTTGTGTATTCTGGAATAGTGCCCTCTTTTTTTTATTCAAAGCCGTGAAGAAAATACTGCGTTTCAAGAAGTACAGCAACTAACAGCGAAGTTGAACAGGTCTTTCTTGGAAAGAAAAGAAAAAGCTTCAAAAAGCTTTTTCTGGCTTTTTCAATATGGTGTAGGATTTCTAAGCCTAATGATTTTGGAACTGACTAAGGATTTTTTTTGGAAAAACTGAGAACTTTTAGGTTCGCGTCACACTAATGGAGAATTTGGATAGCATCAACATTGACTTGACATTACGCTTGAGAAGAGTAATGAATTGGCGATCGTTGGTATAATATAGACTCACGACGATACCTTGCAGAAAACAGACTCTTATGCATCTTTCTTGATGACATCGCATTTTCTTTTGTTTTCCCAGTTCAATAAACTTAACGATTGAGCTTAAAATCTGTAGTCGTAATTACAGCCTCTGTAGAATCAGCCAAAAAAGTAACTTTACAGCACTTCAAATCTTCACATCTCCAAACGGTAGATGACCGTTTTGAATTACAGTATCCATCCATACATATTTTGCGTGACTTAACGTAGCATGTGAAGTGTTTTTTACTCCACTTTCAGATAAAGTATAGAGCTCTACGTGCGACAGTCGGTGAGTTTGCGCCCATTGCACATGCAGGATGCCATAAGACCTCAAATCAGTTAAACGACCTGGTACTTTTCGAAATTGTTCTAGGCAAATGGAAGTTAGTATCTGATAGCAGAAAAGCATTTGGAATGAGAAAGATAACTTAGAAAGATCAATGCGCGTGCAACGAGCGCAAACTCACCGAGTCTCACGACCACGCAAGCCCTTCGAACTGCAACGGTACAAAAGGCTCTCTTGATAGCGCATACCTGTTTCTAAAGTCGTGAAAGTATGCTACATGATAGATTGGTATTACAGTCGGCCCCAATCCCAACCCAATCAGGCCAAAATCGGCATGTCAGGAGTTCGCGTCGCTAGGGTTTTGCGGCACGCGTATGGCCTGCGTGCGTGCTCCCTCTTCAGTATCGTCACGCTCTCTCCCACATTGCGCATATGCAGCGCAGATTAATAGCTCTACGCGCATGCAAATTTAGCAGAAGTTTGGCCGGATTACACGATTGGAGGAGATTTTACCTACAGGGACAAGAACAAGGTCTTGTTTTTTATAATCAATTTGGCCACTTGCTCGTGCACCAAGAAATTTTCCATCTCGCTGCGACTATCGCACTTCCTTCCACCACTTCGTGCATTCGGCACTTGCCCTGCGTTTGCGTCTTTGACAAAAATGAGTGTTCTGCTCGCACTCAAAATTTTCGACCGAAATTAGCGTCACACAACGTTGATCATGCTTTACGGAAAATTGGTTACAGGTCGATTACCAAGGCTAAGAATTCACGCGTCCCCACCCAACGTTTTTAGATAAGTGACAGGGATAAGGGTAGAGCAATCTTGGATGAAATCACAGGAATGGGCCGCATTAAACACGAAAGTCCACGTGCAGTTTATTGCGTGGGTACTACATGTTATCACAAGATTGCATTTGCATTCAGGTAGTGCTAAAGCTTGCTAGCAGATCGGTCGCTGTAGCGTAGTGGCTGTGCTCGCTGTTCGCAATCTTCAAGTCAAAGGTACGATGCCCGTGGGCGTGAGAGTTTTGCGGAGACATTTGCGAGGCTCGCGCTAAGTTCACGCTAAGTTCGTAATTTGCATTGAGTGTCGTGAGCTTAGCTCATATGTGTTGTGACTTTCTGGGGTAGATTACTACAGGCCCTTATCAAGTAAGTCATTGTCGCTGAATCCGATTGCACTTCATTTAACTATAATCGTTAGTTCGATTTACGCCATTAACATAATGACAGAGGTTTTCGCAATGATTTTCTGAAAGGAAATTTAGTCTTTCGATTTGTTGTTGAACGGTGGCCAAGATTGGTATGGTGACAATTTATTACTTGGCTAACGTTTCGGCGCCAACGCCGTCTTCAGAGCCTGTAACCAAAAACGTATGTATTTAGTGCCTACTGAGCCCTCGTTACCGTACGATTCAACTGCGTTGAGCACGAGACCAGCAAAGGGCTAGAACATGCCTTACCTCATTTGACGTTAGTCGATGGATTTGACCGCTCGTGGTCAAGCTGTGCAGAATGTGATGGTACGTTTTTGTTCTCCATGCTGTTTATACTTTGGCTATCAAAACCGCAAAGGCTTTGATACGGTGATAATTCTTTGATTACGGTAATGCACTCGTCCTTTTTGTTCATTTTGGGGTTACGTGACGTAATCCAAAATGCTTCGAGTGTCTTTCGTGGGATAGTTTCTTGTTCGTATGACAAGATTGTGGCAGCGATATCAAACGGCATATTATCGTGCGACACTCTGCTATGTGCACTTAGAGGAGTGGATGCTTTGCGTTTTGCGAGTCCAACCAAGTGCTCTTTGATCCGTAGACATAATGGCCGTCCGGTCTCTCCCACATATTCTTCACCGCATACTTGACAAGTAATGAGATAGACGACCCCGCATCTTAGGCAATCACCTGGTCTTCCAAAGGGACATATTACGCAATCTGTTGTTGAGCAAATATTGTCATATGCGCGATTGCGAATTAGCTGCTTTTTAAGATTGGGAGGAGGGATGTCTACAATTCGAACATAGTCTTGCAAGCCTGCTTGATGTAAACTCCTCCTAACAGCTTTGCTAAAATCGTCCGTTACGAAAGGTATGCAAAAGGATATCTTTTGGGTGTCTTTCTCATGCGGCATGCATCTATTCGAGAAACTACCATTAACGCTACTCATCTGCAAATATCCATTGGATAGTGCAACTTCTTTAGCCAACTTCAACGATGCCGTACGTTCTTGCGCGCCAGAAGAGACCTTTTTAGCTGTTTTGAACATATTATTCAGAATAGACCTCTTCA